ACCTGGTGGCCCTGGCCCGGCAGGTGCAGCAGGTGAGGGCCGGGCCCCGGCGGCGGCGGGATGGCGGAGACAGGGCCGGGCCCGCGGCCGCGCCGGGTACCCGGTGTCTCGCTCCCTCCCGGCCGTCTCCAGGGCCTCCTCAGCCGGCGGCGGTGGCCCTGGTGCCTCCTAGTACGTCTCACTGCTCTCCGCTGTCCCTGGCGGCCTCCCGGTGTGTCCCACTGTCCCCTCCCAGTACGCCCCAGTACCCTGTGTGTTTCCCAGTACGCCACATTGTGCCTCCAGTACCTCTCATGGCAACCTCAGTGCCTCCCGCTGTGCCTCGCTGCCCCTCAGTGACTCCCGGAACACGCCAATAAGCTCCCAATCCACCCCAGTATGCTCTACTGCCTCTCAGTACATCCCGCTGCCTTTAGTCCATCCCGTGTGTCCAGCTGCCCCTGCTCCCAGTCCATTCCAGCACCTGATATGTCCTATTCCCCCTTCAGTCACTCCCAGGCCATCCCAGTGCTTCTCAGTCCACCTCAGTTCCTCCTGATACATCTTGCTGCTCTTTCCAGTCCATCCCAGTTCCTCTTACTACTTCCCACTGCCTTCCGGTAATGCGTCCTAGTTTTGTATGTCCCACAGAGCTTCTCAGTTCGCCCAGTCCACTCCAGCACTTCCATGTAAGTCCTACTGCCTCCTCCCAGTTTATCCCACTACCTCTCAGTCCACCCTAGTGCCTCCCAGTATGTCCTGTGCTCCCTTCCCCTCCCTTCCAGCATGTCCAGGCAGCTCCCAGTGCCTGGCCCAGTTCCACGCCTGTCACCTCACTGCCCGGGGATGCCACGGTCGCACACGGGGCAGCTCCTGCACCACCCACAGCCCCGTTAAAGCCTTGAGCGAGGCCACGACCATCGCTTCTCCAGCACATGCCCAGCATAGCAAGGTCCGAAGGGCCGCAGCTCTTCCCCATCCCGATCAAGCCTCCTTCTTCCTCACAGGCAGATGACTTCATCCGAGCGAACGCCTGCAATAAATTGACCGTCATCGCCGAGCAGATCCGGTACTTGCAGGAGCAGGCTCGGAAGGTGAGGATGTGAGCTGGGTAGGCTTGTTGCCTTGTACTTGTAGAGGATGCTTTGGATGAGCTGTTGGGGGATATGGTGTAGGGGACAACTTTGTAGCGTAGGGCTGAGGGTTGGACTCGATGATCCCAAGGATCTTTTCCAACCTGAATGATTCTGTGAGGGAGGGAGATTTGCATCTTTCCTAACTGCCAGACATTTGGGAAGAGCTGTGGCCTGCATGTGAATCGTGACCAGGAGCCAAACAGAGAAGATTCAGTGGGAAAATAAGGAGGGTTTATTGTCTGGTATCATCTGGGGACAGAGGAGGGTTGTTTGGTGCATTCCCAAGTCCTCTTTTTTAAGGCGGAGGAGCGAGGGTGGGTAGTCAAAAGCAGCTCAGGAGTCAGGAAGGACAGAGATGGCTGGTTTTGCAACAGATGACTCCTATCACCGTAGCGGCTGTGCTGTGCTCCCAGGAGGACATGGTGCAGCAGGGTGCAACGTGGCTCTGGCTGGATCTGAGCCCCTGACAGAGATGAGCTGTTACCTGATAACTGGCTTGACTTTCCAGTTTGTCCCAGCTCATTTGCTGGAGCAGGTGGCCACGGCAGCAAGCCCAGCAGGGCTCGGCTATTCTCTTCAGTTCAGACTTCACCCTTGGGGGTGAAATGTCGGAGCCTGAGTGGGAAAGGATCTGCCAGTCACTGCGACTGGCCCACTGCCATCAAGGCCGCTACGTCATATAATCGTTAACTGGTGGAGCTGGAGCCTGTGGAGCAGTCAGCTGGTGGAGCTGGGGAGATGAATTCTTCTTTGTTTGCTGATCTTCGCTCAGGGACTGCAGCAGGGGAGCCCACAGGGTCCGGCAGCTGTGTACAGAGACAAGGAATGAGACCAGCACGTGGTGGGATCAGGCACAGAGGTGAACCTGGGGCTGTGGTGAAGAGATCCTTGATGCTTGGAGGTACCTCCACATCTGTGGAGGGGTACAGGAGCTCTGAGGTCCAGCTGACAGGGGAAACTTGGAGAAACTTTATTTCTTTGGAAAGCATGTCCTTCCGGGGGCAAGTAAAGATGTGCTGTGTTAAGCCAGACATGGACCAAGGAGGACAAGGCCTCATGAGTGGTGTGTCAAGTGATGTATCTCTGGCTGAGAGGCAATAGCATGTTGTAGCTTTATTTCAAGTGTGGACATTTTAAATTTGTGGTTTAGGTCTTGGATGAAGCTAACAGAGATGCTGATCTGCACCACGTGGCCTGCAACCTCGTGAAGAAGCCAGGAAACGTTTACTACATGTACAGGCGGGAGAGTGGCCAGCGATACTTCTCCATCCTGTCTCCTAAGGTGAGTGGTTACAGCCTTTATGGGAGCAGGGAGGGGAAAAAAAAAAATGTTTCTGGTGCTTGGGCACTTCTGGACTTCAGACAACAGCACCAGCTTGCTGGGGGCATTTGTTGGTGTTTGTCCTTAGTCTGAGTTACTCTGCTGGTGTAAGAGCCATACGATGAAGTTCTCTTGGATTTTGGTGGATGTCGGGCAAGAAAACCTTTGGTGTGTGGACCTGAATTTTGCCTTTCAGTCCCTGCAGTTCTTTCTCTGGAAATAAAGAGCTGCAAATGTGCCCTGGGCCTTCCCTGTCTGGTGTGGCTGTCTGGCAGTGTGATTTTCTCAGGGGTATCAGCCCAGGGAGTGAGTTTGTCTGCAGCTTGGTAGGGATGATCTTGGAGGTATCCTTCTTCCAAGCCACCCATTTTCTTAAGTGCGGGGTGAAGGCTTCAGAGCAAAACACCGATCTCTGTGCAGGTCAGGGAGATCTTGTTTTCCCAAGCCTCTTTTCATGAGGCTATTTTTAGGTTAGAAAATGGGATGGTCACATAGCTGGGACTACTTCAAAGGTGGTAAGGCTATCCAGCATGGGTAGGGGCTGGGCTGAGGGACAGCACAGCCCTGCTCCGAGGGAAACTGAGCAGTGATGTGAATATCTCCTTTCTCCTCCAGGAATGGGGTACCAGTCCCCATGAATTTCTCGGTGCCTATAAGCTCCAGCACGACATGTCCTGGACTCCGTTTGAGGACATTGAGAGACGAGATGCTGAAATAAACATCCTGGACAAGCTGCTGAGCCGTCAGGCAGCTCTGCCTCCATGTACAGAGCCCAACTTCCAGGGCCTGACCAAGTGACACGAGTGACCATACAGGACGCCCTGCGCAGGGTCCCTGTGTGAGGACACGCAGAGCCTGCATGCTGCCAAAGGCAGGGCAAGGAAGGAGACCAAGGAGCAAAAATGCTCATGCCACAAGTACTTCTCTGTGCTTTAACGAGTCTTACTCTGCATTCAGTCTTACTGGATTTTCTAGTAATTGAGTAATTTATTTCTTTGACTTAGGTCAAGCTGTAGCAAGAGGCAGATAATATCAGGTGGAGTCAATTCCAATAGGGTTTGGGGCGAAAACCAAAAATGCTTGAGGCAGACGTGATAATGCCATAAAATACATCCTACCTGTCCGGCTCCAGTGTACCTCCCTGTGACTACCTGTGGCAGGTAATGATTTCAGGGCTGGATTTTGCCTCTCATTAAAATGCACATATCTAGGAAGCTCTGTGGCCTGGGAAGAGCAGTCGAAACCATACGTGGAAGGGTCTGTTGTGACCTGAGTCTCTTGGTCTCTGTCCCAGCTGGTCCAAACCCTTGAGTCTGGCACATGAGGTGACTCATGTCGAGATGCTCTCTTCTCTGGGAAGAGCATCCTCAAATCATGGAGCGAGTGCAAAGGGGAGCAATGAAGCTGGTGAAGAGCCTGTAGCATAAATCCTGTGAGGAGCCAGTGAGGGATCTGGGAGTGTTCAGTGTGAGGAGGAGGAGGCTGAGGGGAGCCCTCATCCCTCTGCAGCTCCTGACAGGACATTGCAGAGAGGCTGGGGCTGGGCTCTTCCCACAGGGAATTAGTGACAGAACAAGAGGGAACGGCTTGAAACTGTGACAGGGGAGGGTCAGACTGGGCATGAGGAAAAAATTTTTCAGAGAAAGAGTGGTCAGAGAGTGGAATAGGCTGCCTAGGGAGGGGGTGGAGTCCCCATCCCTGGGTGTGTTTAAGGGCCATTGGGATGAGCTGTTGGGGGATGTGATGCCGGGGAGAACTTTGTAGAGTCGGCTGAGGGTTGGACTCTATGATCCTGAGGGTCTTTTCCAACCTGAATGATTCTGTGAAAAGTGCCATGCAGGCTTCAGGGGCTCTTCAGAAGGTGTTTCCCAGTCCTCATGTGTTCCCCTTGGATTTGAGCAGATGAGTTGCCAGGGGGAGACAGAAATGTGCAGGGACACTGAATGCCTCTGTACCAGAGCAGTGGAATAAGTAAAATAAATCCATCTTGAGCTCAAATGTACCTCTGGGACAGGCCCCATATCCCGTCTGCATGGCAAGCATCCCTTTGGATTTACCACGGAGACACATGGCATGCGGGGCTGGTAGGACATCTCCAGCCTTTCTTTTTCCACCAAGAACTGGGGAGAGACAAATATCAGAGGTGCTGAGGAGCTGTCCTCTCTCCAGCCATGCAGGGCTTCTCCAGGAGCTCACCTGCTCCTCTGAGCAGCCGAGGTGGGGATGGAGGTGTCCAGGTTGGATCCTGGTGTGCAACATCCGATCTAGTCGGATCCTCCCATGATTTGTTCCTCTCCCCGAGATGACAAGGTAGTGACCTTCCGTGCTGCTCCAGCATTGTATGTGCACACCGACCTCGGCCGCCTCCTCTGCTGGTGACGTGTGAGGGTTGGGGACTGTTTGTGGGAAGGGAACTGTGAGCCAGGGGTATGGGCCCGCCGAGGGTGGAGGTGCACTCGGAGTTGGGCTCCAAGAAGCACCACCTCCACCTGCGTTTTTGGTTGGGCTCTCTGGGCTTCTGAGGTTCTGGTGGAAGAGCTGTGTCCTCTCTTCCCCATGGTATGGTCTTGGGTGCAGCAGTCACTCACCTTCCTGGGGCCTTGCTTGCTCCAGGCAGTCACTCAGCTCCAAGTGACCTTCCCAGGGGTTGCCCTGTCTCTCCTTACCCATGGCTGAGACAGACACCACTGCCTTCAGCTCTGCTGGGTGGTGCCTGAAACAATTTGGGGCTAAGTCTGCACATCAGGCTTGGATCAGTTCATGTACACGCTCTCAAAAGAACCTCTGACTCCTGAAACTTCCTTGTTCTCTTTCTAGCATTGATTAGTTTGTCTTACAGCAAGTCCCCAGAGTACCCTCCTCCTCCTGGCTTTCGCCTGCAGTTGGGAGGGGTTTGGGTGCTCCACTGGCGTCCCTCAGAGGAGGTGGCTGTAACACCATATTCTCCCAGGTCACCCTTGATTCACGCCTTTTCATCTCAATGTCTGAACCTACTGCTTCAGCTTAGGTGCTGCAGTGACTCTGCCAAGGGGAGGGAGGTCCCTGAGATACCCGTGGGGATCAGCACCATCCCTGGCTCTTGCCATTGCTGCAGTGTATACCCCTTTGGCAGGGAAGAGCATCCCCTCCAGCCTCCCTCTCTTCTCATCCCCACACCCCTGGCACACCCTGGGAGTTGCCTTGAGAGATGCTTGAGGCTGGTGGCCTTCCCCGTGGGAAGAGCTGTTCCCTGCTCAGATTGCAGAGGGATGGGAGCTTTGAGAAAGCTTCCTGGCAGTCCAAGATTTTTTTTGTCCTTGATTTTCTTCTCCCAGCTCTGCCAGATGCAGTGGTTCAGCCCCATCTAAGCATGGTTGAGCCTCTAATCAGCAGAAACCTGGTCCCCGGAGTCAGTGTGTGATATTTCAAGCACCTTTACGCAGCTCACTTGGAGCACAAGGGCAGATTAGAAGCTATGTATTATTATTAGACGAGAGTATAGTTCATTCCTTATCGAGTCACAAGTGTCTAAATTGATGGGTTTTTTTCCCTGCTTGTTTTATCGCCCCAGGTCTTATTTTACTGCATGTTATTAAATCTTGGAAGGGAGAAAGTTAATTACTGCATGGGCTTTGCCATGGTGCTAATTACAGCAACACCAGAGATCTTTGCTTGTGTTGATTTATGCTCCTCTGGGAAGAGGGGATTCCTGCCCCAGTTTTATTTCTATTTCCCATCATTAAAATCTGTGCAATGACATGCACAAGGGGATCAGGGAGATGTTTGTATACCTCCATAAGCTTGTGATTTCACACACTGGCCTTTGGTGGGATTTCACACATGTTTTCCTGCATCTCCAGCAAACACCCCTGACCCTCTGTATCCCATAACTCCCAGGTGTCCTGCAGTTCCTCTGGGCACTGAAACATCTTTTTCTTGGATTTGCCCCAAAAGAGCAAAACCACTAAGGCTGAAACTTTTAATGAAAATATAGAGAAGGTATCAAGAGGCAAGACATGGAGACGGTGGGCTCATGCTCAGCGCTCTCTGCACTGCGGGAAGTGGGGATGTGGCTGCTGAAGGGTCCTGCTGTGGGACTATGTGGAAGGTGGTGCTGGAAAAGGGGAACCATTCCTCCAAAACACTGACTGGTTCCTCCAAAACAGCTTGCCCGGTGCTGCCATTTTGTCTGGTTTTTGATCTAATTAAACCCAAGGAGCTAAGGCAATGTCAGAAATACTGGAAGGTGTTGCTGCAGAGCCAAGCAATCCATCTTCTGAAAAGTGGGCGAGGATGGAGCTGGCAGCAGAAACATGAGCTGAAACCTCCTGCAATACTTGTAGTGAGGATGAATTTCTGGAGGACCAAGGAGATGGTGCTCAGTGGAGGACTTCTTGGGTCCCTCCAGATTCACAATCTCATCTGTTCATCTCAGCCTCTACAGAGCCGTTGCCTTTATGGGTTTTTGACTTGATGGGGCAAGGTTTTAAGCCAAAAACCAGCAGAAGAGTCAGCAGGATGTGGTGCTGGGGGGCAGAGGTTGTCTGCAGATGAGGTACGGGCCATGTCTCGCTCCTACATGTTTTGTAAGCCTTTAATTAAACGAGCTTGGGCCCTCTGCTTTGCTTGGAGGAGCAACCACGTAGGTAACGTGGGTGAACGGGGCAGAACCAGGAGCTGCAGGCTAGTAGCTGCTGTTCCAGCTGCAGTACATAATGCATTTCCCAGATTAAAAGGTTAAAAATCAACTATTGCGAGACTTCACTTCCATTTATGGCTTCATCTTGAAAATTAATTTTGAAAATATTCCTCTCCCTTTGCTCTTTAATGAGCACTCAGGGCAGTGGTGAATGTGGTCTGAGGGCAGCGGCTTGCTCTGAAATCCCCAGGGATAGACAGTCTTTGCAGGAGAAGACACAGATGGGCTTCTGACACCATTAAAGTTGGACAGAGCAGTTTTTGCTCCATCTTTGGATGTGCAGATAAACCAGGGCTCATTTAAAAGGGCCGGCAGAAGGATGCTTTTAGCATCTGATCCTCTCCTGGATGCTCCCCAGAGCCAATGCTTGCTGACTTTTAGGGTTGCTGTGAGCCTTCTTGTCTTCTTCTGGTCCTGAGAGATGGATTTATTAATGGTTCAATGGCAGGAACGATAACTGAGAGAGGGAAAACATCTTTCAGACGTGCTGAAATAACAGGAGGCACTGAACCAGGGCCAGGAACTGCAGGCAAAAATGAAAATGATATAGAGAGATTTTTTCAGCCTTTTCAGATGGTTTTCAGCTGTCCACAGCAGGGATTTTTAACCACAGGGTTTCTGCTGCTTCCACGTCACCTTGAGCCATACTGCGAGACCAACAGGTCTTCCTGGCTTTTAAAAAATGAATTAACTCTAAGCAAGTTTTCTGTTTCAGAGCAGATTTTGGTTCCTGCTTCTCAAACGGGCAGTGCCTGGGAGGTTTTCTTCTTGTGCTCTTTTACTTGAAGGGTAATATTTCCTTTTATCTGGGGGGCTTAGGGGTGTTTGGTTATAACCCCCTGTGAATACCCCCTGCACTGTGGCCATCACCCAGCCAGGGAGACTTCAGCCCTGCAGGGACGGCAGCACGAACTAGCTCATTGCTGGGGATAAACCCCTCCTCCGTCATTCCCCAGGACTGGGGGACGTGCAGCGGATCAAGCAAGGTTAATAAAATTTGGGGATGGCTTTCGTTCTCCCCTTAGGAGAGAAGGGGACCTGGGAGAGACTCGCAGGGAAGCACCCGCGCAGCATTGCGCCCCGCGAGCCCCAGGAGACGGGGCGATGATTAATTCGGAATTAGGCCCTTCCTTTTGGGAAGCGAAGCCTGGATCTCAACGAGAGGAGTCGTAGCTCTTTGTGTTTCAGCTTCAGTTCAAGCAGAAAAAAAAAAAGGAAAAAACGGAGGGAATTTGTTAAGGGGGATGCAGGGGTGCTCGTGCACCCTGTAGGGGAGAACTTGTGCCCTCCATGTGCTCCGGGGCGGGGC